GGACGACTGGCTCTGGGTTCCAATTGTTTGTCTAATACTCAGGTTTTCCCATTTAGAAAAATGAATAGTGAGAGTTCCCCTCATTGCTGCCAATTTCCTTTCTTCTACTTTATCCCCTATTATACTATTCTTTATTTCATTAAAAGAGGGTGGTTTTTTAAGTTCTCTATTTCTATAAATCAGATATTTAACAAGAATTAAAACATGATTCATTAATTGATATTTTCCTTTATTTCTCTCCTCTTTCCCATACAGAATTTCCTCCAAACTACAGTTATGTATTTCAAAGTCTAAAAATCTCGTGCACATTTCCCACACTGATTGTGCAAATTCACAAGTATAGAATAAATGTTTATATGTTTCTTCATCTTTTTCGCAAAATGAGCATAAGTTAGTCGAGACAAGACCAAAACGGAAGAGGTGATGGTTTGTATATAATATATTATGTATAAGTTTGAACTGAAACTCTCTTAATCGACTGTTAAGTGTACACTGTCTTAGTCTTAAAAATATGTTTTCTATTTCCTTACAGGAAAAACCATAGTTCCTTCCAATTCTCTCAAAAACCAAAGGTTTAAAATCATCTTTCTTTATTAATTGTACATAAATTTGTTTTGATTTTAAATCAGCTATATTAGTTGTTTTCTTCCCCAAAGTGAAATCAGTTCCAGAATTATTTTTTTTTTCTCCCTTTCCAAAAATATTTTTCCAACAAACTGGTAAACAGGTATAAAAGTGCTTGATCTTTTCAATTTCATTTACTTCAACACCTAAATCGATAAAATGCCTGTCACTTTTTAGTTTACCATCGTTTTCCAGAATATGTTTTAATTTGTAAATTCCTTTGTCATACAACCTCTTATCGTATATACAACTTCCTTTATATCGAATAAGTTTATTATTAAAAATTACCACATCACCAATGTCTATACTCCTTATATGTCTCGTATTCACCCAATCTTCTAATAAATCCTTATAAAATTGTGGAGCTGTCACTTTTAATAAACTTGGTATATAGTCACATGAAAATATCAAATCTCCACCCACGTGTTCAGTGACAAAGTTAAAATATTGTTTCCATTTCATGTCTTCATCTTTGTTTAGAAGTTTTTGAATCCACATAATTCGCTGCGATTTAACTTGTGCAGAAAAATTTAACATCTTTAACCCCCCTTGGTTATAGTCTAAGAACATGGTGTTTCTATTGATTTTATCTGTTTTTCCTTTCCATATGAAATCAAAAGTTAATTCATCCAGTGAATCATAAACCCATTTTGGAACAGGAGTAAGTGACGCCCGATAAAGAACTTTAGAATAAATGTGCACTTTCAATAGTTGAATCTTACCCATAAGTGTTAAATCCCTTTGCTTCCAAAAATTTAAAAGTGTTTTTATTTTACTTAAGATTTCTTTATAATTTAGATCTTCTTTCTTGTGTTCATCGAGGGAAAAGAAAATCCCTAAAACCTTAAGAAAGTCAACTATTTCGCCAAAAGCAAAATCACAATCTAAACGTTGACATGAACCTAACCTTAATATTTTAGTCTTGTCGTTGTTTATTTTCAGTCCAGAAATTTTTTCGAAATCTGCAAATAATACTTTTAACCTATTAATTGATTTTTTATTGCGAACAAAAATTGTCATATCATCCGCATAAAGTACTAGTTTAGTTTCCTTATCTCCAAAATTAATTCCGTCCACCAATTTATCTATTCGTAATTTGTGTGCCATTACTTCAATACACAAGATAAAGAGGTACGGAGAAAGAGGGTCTCCCTGTCTTACTCCCCTTTCTACTTTGAAATAACCAGTGGACCCTCCTTCATTTAATACACAACTTAGAGTGTTCATGTATAAAACTTTAACCCACTTTTGAAAGGACGGACCGAAACCAAATGACGACAGAACTTTTTGAAGAAATTGATGTGAAATTGAGTCAAAAGCTTTTTCGAAGTCTACAGCTAACAAAAAACCAGATAAATTGTAACGGGATGTATGAAAAATAATATCATCTATAATGCGAATGGCCTCACCAATATTCCTCCCTTTCATGTAGCCCACCTGATCTCCCATAATGATCTCATTTAATACTTTCTTGATTCGCTTAGCCAAAATTTTTGTTAAGATTTTATAATCGACATTAAGAAGGGAAATGGGTCTATAATTTTTCAGTGAAAAGGGATCTTTCCCATCTTTAGCGATTAACGTAATTACAGCTTGTTTTTGAGACGATGCTAATTCTCCTAATCTATATGCTTCATTCAAGGCATCTTTAACTAAATCTCCAATATTCGGCCAAAAGGTACGATAAAATTCTGAAGAAAAACCGTCATTTCCAGGTGATTTGTTCTGTTTTAATTCTTTTAAGATTTCTAGGCATTCTTTATTACTTATAGATCCTTCACAGTATTCTCGAGATTTTTCAGTCAATTTCGGTAAACCTTGAAAGAAACTATTATAACAATTATCCGAGCACTCGTACTCTACTTTACTGTACAACATGCTGTAAAACTTCCGGATTTCTTCAGTTATCCTTTTTTCATCGCAGCAAATAGCACCATCTGAGGTTTTAATTTTTTTAATAGTACTCTTTCTTTTGTTATTTTGCATTAATTGATTGAAATAACGCGAATCCCTTTCTCCGCTTTCGTACCACGAGGCTCGTGATCGAATCCTAATTCCTTCATTTACATAGCTATAAACTTCCTTTAATTTCTTTTTTGTATTTTCCAATTTTTCTAAAGTATCTGCATTAGTGCTTTCCGTCAATTGTTGTTCTAAACATTGTATTTCTTTTTCTAAATCTGTTCTTATTGTTCTTCTTTGATCAGCCAATTTTTTTGAAAATTTTTGTGTAAAGCTCCGAATTTTCATTTTTAAAAAATCCCATAACAACCTTTTGTCTTTTATTTTAGTTTGCAATTCGTTTTTTAATTGACAAATTTTCTTTTTTAACTCTCTAACATAATCTTCATTTTCACATAAACTATTATTGAATTTCCAATATGACCCTTTTCTTCCATTCGTTTTATTGACTGTTTTGTCAAATAAACGTAAAAATATTGAATGATGATCAGGGGCAACAGATGGAATTATATCGCACTTCATAACCATTTCCTCTAGACATTCTGATATTATCCAGTAATCTAGTCTACTTTGCATAAAGGGATTGTTTTGCGTATAAGTGAATTGCCTTTTTAAAGAATGCCTACATCTCCAAATATCCAAAAGCTGCAAATCTTCCATGAATTTTTCAAATTCTCGATTAAATCTTTTCGAAATCCTGTTTAAAGATTTCCCGTTATAATCAAATTCAATGTCCCTAATCATGTTAAAATCACCACCTATTATAACCGGGTAGTTATCTTTATTTAACTTAGCCAGATTATTGCGTAATTTTCGAAGAAATTGCAATTGATCACTCTCAAAATTTCTTGTTGGAAAATACACATTGCCTAAAATCAACCTAACACCTTGAAACTTACAGTCTATAAAAATATATCTACCCTCACTGTCTTTTAAGACTTGCAATATCTCAATATCTATCCTCGGCGCAATCAAAACGAGAACTCCTTTACTGTGATTAGAACCATGACTAAAGTAAGTAGAACCCTCCCACATTGAAGCCCACTTGTCCTCACAATCGCTAGTACTAAATGTTTCTTGTAGGAAAACAATGTCCGCCCCTTTATCTTTACACCAGAAAAATATGCGTTCCCTTTTATCTCTGTCCCTGATCCCTTTCACGTTGAGGGAGAACAATTTACAATTAATCAGAACATCCATAACCTATCACACACAAGAAAATTTAACCCAGTCCCAGAGCCAATCCCCCACCTTAAAGGACCCCACGAAAAGCAAGAACGAAACCCCGTCATCTGGGAAAGAAACTGATACATGTAAGGCATGCAATATTGCAGCTCCCCCGCCCCACCCCTCCCACTCTAAACATTTCTATTTGAAGGTAACATTCCCGAAAATAAGGCTATAAAGGATTATGTACCCTCTCCACATTGAAGGTGCTATAATAGCCTGACTTACAGAATACACAAAATAAATGCTTCCTTGCAATTATAAAAAAAAAAAACATGTCATGTACGAAAATCTTTGAAGGCTCTTGAATCTATTAATCACAAATTGATTAAGTATTCAGGAGTAAATTACATTTCAATAATCAACATATAAAAAGGGAACATCCTTCATAATCACAGGGTTGTAAACCAGTATCTTCCCATATAATAGCTTAACTACCAAGTAAATACCAACATGAGAAACATGCAGCTGGTAAGTACACCTGGGAACAACCAATACTCTCCGAAGCTACATCTTATCTTCTCTTATTAAGGAGTGATGCATTTCACCAACAGTCTCACAATAATAACTACAGACCCTTGGAATTTGCATGCATATAAAAATAAAAAAATTTAAACAAAAAGATGACATTCTTGAGACGCATGTAGTTCGAAGCTTAAATACTTCTCAAACATAAGGAAATTTGACCTGGCAACAGCCCTGAAAAAAAAATGAAGCAATTATTTGACTAAGAATAAGAGTTATCCATTTACATTTACAAGAACGAGAACAAGATCCATTTGCAGTTACAAGAACGAGACCGATTCCAGACCGGCTACAGACCAAATAAAAAGTAACATTACCTCCATACTGTACGATGGCCAAGCATCGGTCGGTATGGAGTCGGTGTGGAGTGGGTGTGCAGTCGGTCTAGAGTCGGTGTGGAGTAGTGTAAGCGGTTTGACTCAGGCGTGAAACAGCAGTTACAAGAACGAGACCGAAACCAGACCGACTACAGACCGAATAAAATGTAACATTACCTCCATATTAACCCATGCATGGTCAAACATCGGTCGGTTTGGAATCGATGTGGAATCGGTCTGTAGTCGGTCTAGAGTTGGTGTGTGTAAGCGGTATGACTCGGGCATGATACCGCAGTTACAAGAACGAGACCGGTTTGGCGGTTTGACTCGGGTATGATACCCAAGTTACACTGCCAAACCGACACCAGACCGACTACAGACTGATCAAAAAATACCATTACCTCCAACATGTCCAGTTTAGTCGGTGTAGGTTACTGAGATTAACCTGTGCTTTATACAGAAATGAATTCCATTGGAATACGTGCTGGACACGCCTAAGGATTTGAACAAAAGCGACGGGCATAATATGCACGGGTGAACGCTGCTTCGTTGTATCATGGTTGAAGAAGTCTATGGTTGTATTGAAATATTCGAGCAGTAACAGAGAAGACGGGGTAGAGTGAATCTTGGCTTTACATTATTGCACAACGTAGATAGAGGAACGGACTCTTAACTATAAAGCACAATGTCCATAGTTAGGGAGATACAGGAGTGAAAAGCAATTGATGGAATACTACTCCAGCAGAGCCACGTGAACATGAACATGCACTGCAGTAGCTTGTCCTAGCATCAAAACCAGGTAAATATCTAGCATAATATCAGTGATGTCCGTTGTTCTTGTTGTTGGTAGTGGTTTTATGGCGTTCATTCAGTATTGATGTCCACTTTAAGGCGATGATCTTTTACTATGGTACAACCGGGTGGAAATAAGAGACCCCGGACTTCACGTCATTTGTGACACACCCACACACACCTTTCATCTTCGAGAATCTTCCAGAGTGAAACAGACAGAGACAACAGAAGAAGGAGAAGAGAAGAAGAAGAAGAAGAAGAAGAAGAAGAAGAAGAAGAAGAAGAAGAAGAAGGAGAAGAAGAAGGAGAAGGAGAAGGAGAAGAAGAAGAAGGATAAGCAGAAGAAAAAGAACTTGGAAGAGAAGAAGGACAAGAAGAAGATGAAGAAGAAGGAGAAGATGAAGATAAAGAAGAAGAATTGCTAAGTATAGTGGTTTTAGGGACTAATCGCACAATACTTACAAAGTAAAGAATGGTCATGAAATATGATCATCGATTGAAACAAAAAACAAGATCCGGAAGCTGGGACATCCCACATAGGAGCATCACTATCCTGGCTGTGTAGTAAAAGCTGTGCTTTTGATTCTCAACATTTCAAACATCACTGTACAAAACTCAACTGATTTCACTAAAACATCGATACTTTAGTGACAATTGATGACACCTAAATAGCAGTAAAATACATTTTTTTCAACTTACTGATGTTAATAAGAATAATTTAAAAATTCAAATTGTAAGTCTACTATCAAACTTTGCTTACAGCCGCATCGGCATGATAGTGTGCAGTCTAAGCAATATTGTGTGGTGTGCATATTCAGGCGCGTACACAGGGGGGGGGGGTTGGGGGGTTAACCCCCCCCCCTTTGGATTTTTGTTTTTAATAAAAAAAAAAATAAAAAAAAATATATATATATATATATATATATATATATTCCCATGGCTGACCTACAAAAGCTTACCTTACCCCCCCCCCCCCCCAACGGAGCAAAATGTCAAATTTTCAAATTTGGAGACCAAAAAAAAAAAAGTGTCCTCTTACCCCGCCCCCCCCCCTTCTTCCCCAAAAAGAGCCCCCATGAGCCTTCTCACGGGGGCTCTTTTAGTACTGACGGGGGCTCTTTTTTATACAAATATCCATTGAATTGGTACCTATGATACTCCCCAATTTTTTGCTATTTCATCATTATTATTTTAATCAGCATTTTCCCTCTTGCAAATTTACAAGCTACATAGCTGTTACTGACTTTCATCCCCTGATGACATTCTCTCGATTTTTTCCCATTCTGCACATTATTTCCTCCTCATTATTCGGAGCGACCTTTACATTCTAATCTTTACTGAGCCGCGTAGCGGCGAGGCGATTTTGTGTGTGTGCTATTTTGGACAGGCGCGGATCCACGGGCCGATTCTACCGGCCCGCCCCCTCCCCCCTAGCCTCCCAAACCGGTAAAAAATAGGATAGTAACGTAGATTTTACCTTAGGAAATAAAATAAAAAACGCCCCCCCCCTGACCTGCCAGTGACACAAATGCGGCATCAAAATATTTGTGCTTCTCTGACCGTAATTAAATGCCTAAATCCTCTGAACCCCCCCCCCCCCCCCCCCCACACACCAATTTACGCTCGCTACCCTCTACCTGATCGTAAATACTTTAGCTTCCCCCCCCCCCCCCCCCCCCCCCCACTTTGATAAAAGTTCCGCGGGGCCTGTGTATATAATATATACGCATACAACACTGATCTTTATGATGTCTTTAACGTGACATATCTTCTTCTCCCCTTGCAAACGAGAAAGAAAACAAGGTCACTAAAAGGGATTAAGCGACAAATAATGATTGTGATTCAAATTGATGCGAATATTTGTTTGAATAAGCACTGCTATTCACCCGAATCTTCTTTGTAAAAACAACTTTTACAAATCTCAGCCATGCTAAACTGAGTTGAGACGTTCCATTCAATGTAAAATACTCATTAAAGAATACACTTCTCCTAATCTGAAAGTGATCTTACAACACAGTGGCAGATTTGCATGTCTGTGATTTGTAAAAGTCGTTTTTACAAAGAAGATTCTGGTGAAAAGCATTGCTTATTCAAAAAAATCCTTGCATCAATTTGAATCACAATGATTATTTGTCGCATGATCCTTTTATTAAATAATTGTTTTCTTTTTTGTTTGCAGGGGGAGAAGAAGCTATGTCACGTTAAGAAATCATAAAGATCAGTTGTATTATGCGTATATACATTATGATACCAGAACAAATGTTGATTATCAGATTGTCATTTTGGAATACCTCTATACAAATACCACATTGTCTTTAGCCCGTATCAGTATTAGTATGATCCAACATAAAGCTATTATTCTTTATTCAGTTCAGTATAATGCTTTTCCTCAAAAATAGTTTTGCTATTTTTTTAGGGTTGAGACGCTAAGAAATGGTTTCAAATGTACATTACACAAACCCTGAACCATTGCAAAATGATGGTGGTTCTCTCTCTCTCTCTCTCTCTATTTTAATCATGCATTATCAACTACATATAAAGTAGCAACCAAAAACTTAGGGTTATCTGAGATAGGTGAAAGTAAGAGTTAAAAAGAAAGTCATGCTAAAACGGCGCTTCACTCCCCCCCCCCACCCCCTGAAAAAAATAAAATAGATTAGTAGTCCTTCTCTCCAGCATCCCCCCCCCGCTTTAATATCACATTTTCACTTGGCAGCCCAAGGGGGCCGGGGGGAGGAGGGGATTAAACCCCCTACCCCCCCCCCCCCCGTAGATCTGCCCATGTTACCATATTATTCCACGACATCTTGGTCTTCCTCTTCTTCTCGATAGGGACTTTTAGATTTGTGTGGACGTGGACGTGTTACGTCCTTTTAAGGAACTGGCAGTCACATGTGACGTCCTTTTAAGCACTGGCAGTGCCGGTCATACGTTGCAGTCCACGTTCTCATCGTGCAAATCTAAAAGTCCCTAATATTGATTTACTGTTCGAGGTTCATTTGCTGGTCATTTGAAATCACCAGATTTCAGCGGGTTTACGCTTTCACAACGAAAAACTTCTCCATGACCATGTTTCTGTCCTTGCGCGATCGCCTCCAGCTCCAGCAGACATGGCGCGGCAACGGGCACACGTACCGTTACTAACGGCGCAGTAGGCCTATAACCACTGCTGACGGCGGCACTGCACTGCGAGCTGAGTCGGTAATAATAGGCCTATTCACGAAACGAGAAATCTTGCACGCTAATCTAAGTTTAATTTCATTGGTTTAAGATTTGAAAATTGAAACTCAATATTGTGTAAAAGTTATAACAGAAAAGATAATCTTCATTTTATTATTCCACGGGGGCGATTTTTAATTTTGCAATCGCCCCCGTGAGCAACCTGACGGGGGCGATTATGTAGCTCACGGGGGCGAATCGCCCACCGCCCACGTGTATTTTTAGTGCTGGTTAGGATTAGGTTCAGTGTTACCCAAGAAACCTAAGTCTTAAGATTTAGTTTCATTGGTGAAGCGTTAGTTAACCTACATGTAAGAACGTCTGGTTAATCTTTGTCGTAGGGAATTCTGAAGTTGCTCCAAGCTTTGAGTCTTGAGTCCTTCCTGATTGAGGTCGGAACTGTCTTACGGAAAGTAATATAAAAATGAGGATGTTGTTGGCCTAGCTGGCCACGAATCATAGGGCTGTCATACTGTAGAACATTACATTCGCGACTATTGGTATTGTTGTTATATTACTGTCTATATTTATCTAAAATAATTGAAATATTTTCATCCATTTTTCTTGCAGATGTACCACTGAATATTTTACCATCCCAGACTGATATAAGACGTACCGAACGAGTTCGGTAGAGGATTCTCTTGTTTGTGTTACCTCTGAGACGCCAGCCATGGATTGCTGCAGGGACCTTTGCTCCAACATCAGCCGGAGGAAACACCTTGGCACTCATGAGGAGCTTTACGAGACTTCCCTACGCCGTTCTTTAACCACATTCCAGCTGACGGTCATGGGTATGGGTGCCATGATCGGGGCCGGTCTCTACGTGCTCTCTGGGGTGGAAGCCAAGGAGGTCACAGGACCTGCCATTGTTGTCTCCTATGCCATTGCGACCGTTGCCGCCATACTGTCAGCTCTGTGCTACGTAGAGTTCGCGTGTAGGATACCCAAGACAGGGTCTGCGTACACCTTTACCTACGTCGCCATAGGTGAAATATGGGCTTTCCTTATCGGATGGAACTTGATCCTGGAATACGCCATATCCGCCGCCTCGGTAGCCTCCTCGTTCGTGGGTTACATGGATTCTTTGACTGGGTACAAGATAAGAAACTATACCGTTGAAACCATCATGGGTGGGGAGCTATGGGACGTTCCATACATAGCGCCATACCCGAATCTACTCGCCTCTTTATTAATTATTTTAATATCGATATTTATAGCGGCAGGGGCCAACGTGTCTGTAGGGGTCACCGTTGTGCTCATGGGCGTCAACATCGTGGTCATCATCATTATCGTTGTGTTGGGGTTCATGAAAGCCGATATCAAAAACTGGCAGGATTACGGTGGTTTTGTACCTAACGGACCTGCGAGCGTGATTGCGGGGGCGGCGACCCTCTTCTACTCGTTCGTTGGCTTCGATACAATCGCCATTGCCAATGAAGAGACGCTGAACCCCAGGAAAAGCATCCCGAGAGCTACCTTCATGTCAATCCTGATAACCAGTGTGTGCTACATCCTTGCATCCGCTGTGCTGACCCTCTTGGTTCCTTACCCACAGTTGGATGAAGAATCGGCATTCGCAGCTGCCTTCCAGCAACGCGGTATCGAGTGGGCGAGGTGGATGGTGGCTGTGGGAGCCCTATGTGCAATGTTTACCACGATCGTCATGTCTCTCTACAGCCTCCCAAGGTCGATCTACGCAATGGCTTCTGACGGACTACTCTTCGATTTCCTAGGAACTGTAAATCAATACACCAAAGTGCCTGTTTATGCAGTTCTCTTCTCCATGGTTCTTGTGGTCATACCTGCCATGTTCTTTACCTTGTCTCAGCTTGTTGAATTCCTCTCCATTGGTGTTCTTCTCGGATATGCTTTCGTGTCAGCTGCGGTCATTACCCTTCGCTACGGACCCGATGATATAACGACGGGCAACGATGCAAGCTTGGAGATGACATCATCACCCAATGGACATGATGATCAGAAACCCTCTGCGCAGCCCCTTGATGATAACTCAAAACTTCTGGTCGCAACGTCCGCAGGCGTCCCAGGAACTCTCAAACACCAATTTCGTTCAACACCACTCCTGCGCGCTCTTGCTCGCCTTAGACCAGGAGTCGCAGTCAAGATCGGTCTCTGGGTTTCTATTTTCTTCATGTCCTGTACTCTTTCTCTCGTGGAGTACGGTAGCTCTGACATAGCTGCGCCTAAGGTGTGGGCCATACTACTTCTCATCTTCTTCAGCGTCTGCACTCTTCTAAGTTTTCTCGTCATCACTATTCACTACCAGAATGTAGATACACAGGACTACTATAGGGTAAGCAGAAATATATTTCATACAGAAAACTTTCATCGCTTGGGGTAATCATTAGAATGTAGTTTAGCCTTCTACTAAGCTTATAATTTAGTACGCAAGTTTTCATCCACTCCTGTTGACTCTCTCAAGTCTAGTGATTCGCACGGTTTCTTGCTGTCTGCTTGGTTTCGAACCCGGGACCTCTCAGTTACGATACCACTGTCCTATCATTAAACCGTCTCCTCCTTTATGGTATGATCAGTAATTGAATTTGCATATATTATTGATTCATCTTTCTTTGTGTTTGTCTTTATCACAGGTCCCATTTGTTCCACTTTTTCCATGGCTTAGTATTTTTGTCAATGTAGTACTGCTGATGAAGCTCAGACCGATCACGTGGTTACGTTTCCTGATTTGGGTCACCGTAGGTAAGTTCAATTTGCATGTCATTTACATATGCAAATGAGAGGATCATGCCAGATCGACCAATCAGAATCTTCCAAATACTTGGTCCTCGTTTGATGCTGAGAGACTTGAAATATGAAAAGTAGGTCCTACAGTTTTGCTCGACCCATATGAAAGTCCACTACTTACATAATGTCTTTTCAATCATGGTCGGAATAACATTTCCTCCCAACAGATTTCATGTTGTCTTTAGTGTGGATTATATAACCTGCGTGCCGTCCTGTCTGGATATTACAAATACATAACTAACCATCTTCTCCTACCCCCTTCTCCCCTCGCCGAATGCAGTAATGGTAGCATTCCTTTGCTCGAGACTAGATGTATCACATTTTAACTAAAAATAGATTAATTCATTCCGGATGCGCTATTTTTCTGGATAATGCAGCATTTTTTAAATTCTCAATGCACATATCATCTTCCTAGTCTTGTTTTCCGTCAACAAGGCTTGGATATTAATCCAAGTAATACCAGATATCAATGAAAATGTATAGCTTTATGCTTTGTTGTACACATTTCTAAGTAGGGGTATTTTGAAAGAGCAACTTTTTTAAAATGTACTGTACATATCCAGATTTCTCCTCAATATGGTTTCCAACACAGACCAATTAGATCATAATATAATGAAAAGAAATTTGATTTGAATATCATGGAGTTACAAATTTATGCTGCAGATCTCACATCATCGTTAATACACATAATATGCATGCAGAAACAACAAATTTAACGGGGAAATATGACACCTTCCAGAGAATGTGCAGCTGTCGACGTGGTAAAGTTTACAGCCCATATATACCATAATACCAGCATACATTGAGCAATAATAGCCATAGTCGACCTAAACACAGCTTTCGCATCTAAACCGTACGAAGTACAATATTCATTGGCAAATTAATTCAATCGAAATATCTGTAATACTATAAATCATTCTAAAGGCATCGAAAACTCGCATGTGGTGTAGGTTTGACCTCGGGAAGTTTTAAATGTTAGGTCATACAACCCTTGTGAAAGGTAACAGCTACTTCGAGTGCCAAGTGAAGGTCAACTTAATCGTCCCTCTTGGCGTGTTAACGCGTTACTCCTGGAAAAATCCAGGGGTAAATCAGATGGTCACTACGCAGACCTTTACACCGACCTTACCCGCTAACCATACTTACGCCGAGACCCGACCAAAATCGCCATCGTGTGAACACGGCTAATGCAAAGTAAAATATGATTCCTATGTTTTACGAGCAGTATAAAATTCTTCCCTCTTACATACACCACTTGAGAGATTGCAGGAAATAGAATTAAAACATGGTGGTGAAATAGAGCAAAATTTAGATGGGATAAAAGAATTGATCATTTGAATTCCCATTTCTTAATTTTCTAGGTTTATTCATCTATTTGGTATACGGGTATCGCCACAGCAAGGCCGGGAGAATCTCGCGGGAGAGACTTAACAATGAAAGCACGGATGTTGGCAATCATGGCAACGGATCAACCGAGAATGCTGCGACGTATGGAAGTACCAATTAGAAGGACAGGAAAAAAGGAAATGAAACCAAAGACTGTCTGCTTTTGATCTCCGTTTAAAAGCTAAATATGAGAAATGAAAGATATTATTATATTATATTTGTTATAGGGAACATGGGAGTTAATAGGAGAAAATTGGGTTAATTATTTTCTAACTCTTAGGCAGGATATTAATTTGGATAAAATATATCCATATATTATATTTAGAATTATAATTCATTAGCGGTGATTGCAATATTTCTTTCTTTTTCACTATAAACAATAAATTTATCCCACATTTAAAAACGAAAAATGAAATGAAAAGGACTATTTTCCTATATATCAACATCTAACGTTTGTAATTCGCATTCTGACTATTATGACTATTCAAATACAATGATATATAACAGGTGAATGTAATAGCCTGTTGCTAGGTAAACTTCGATGAATTGTGACAATGGCTTAAGAAATGAACGAAGAGCTCATAGTGTTCCGTGAGTGTAAAAACAAATTTAAGTCTGATTTTTTAACGTATTAAATTGTAGTCCTATAGTTCAAATTATTGAGCCAAATAGCTGCCTTTAAAACTTGAAGCCCTTTTTTTGCATGAGAGGTCACGAGTGGCTTCCAGTAAAACTTAAAGCCTTTTCTTTGTTACGTCACGAGTGTCTTCCATTAGAAGTGTGTAGATGATTAGATATACAGCTTTGGACAGGTAGAATCAGAAAAATGCAAATTGAGCATAATTATATAAAAATGTATAGATGAAAGAAATGAAATTTTCTTTGTATCAGATTTGGAACTAAGGTCTGATCATCCATATTTCTTAGTGACGTTCCAAAGTGATTATGGAATCGATGAGATTGATAAATGATAAAAAAATAAAGATTTCAAATCAAATATAATGTACGGAAAATAAGTACGAAATTTCGAAATATGTAGATATAACGGACAAGGTAGAACAATGTAAAATGTGGGGAGCCTAAATAAAAAGCATAGCTTGTCCCATATGTTACAGACTATATCTTCCATTTCAGTATTTCTGATAACCCTATCCAGATGATAGCATTACTGGAGTGTGGATCAGACCAAATATGTGGACGTGTCGTGACATAGTGGTTCGCTCTCTTGACTCTCAATCCCAAGTGTTGATGGTTCGAGTCCTAGCCCGGCATTAAAGGTACTATGTCCCATATGCAGGCCAAAAAATAAAAAAGATTAAATTCCAACGGCATTTGACAGACAATAGTACTAATTTAGAATTTCCCTCAAAACGAAATGGCTTGAAAATTACTTTTAGTGGGAAAATAACGACCATCAGTTGTCGAATCGACTGAAGTGATTGCAATCACTTAAGTAATATTCTGATTTTCAGACCTTTTTACCGAATGGTTGTACGATTTGTGCTGCGCGAAGATTCAATCAGTTTAATTTTGGCCGTTACAAGTAGTGGGTTATTGATGTAGACAAATGTTCATCTACCCGTTACAGCTCATTTTATGTATGTTATTACCAAAGAAAATACGATGTTAGTCAGTCACTCAATAGTGTCTGACAGTGAAGTCTAGAATGTAAACTGGTTTCGTTGCCTAATCTAAATAATAGGATACTGCTAATATTTAAATTTCACAGATAGGACAAACATGACATATTCATAATTCCTGCAAAGTTCTACAGAATTTGATGTTGGCTGCAAAAGGGACATACTATCTTTAACGTCATTTGTCTACTGAAACGTTAATCTATACGTGTCAGTCTCCGTACCTTGCATTTGTTGGAATAGTATACAATGCAATGTCCGCTGGAAGAGCAGTATCAATACTGTAAATAAGACTCCATTATTTTAATAATTTAGCTTTATTTTAAATATTTATTAAAATTATTAAAGAAAATCACACTTTCTATGTCATTTTGTGAGTAATTTTTTTTTACTACCCTTGCCCAAAAGAGCTCTGTACTGAAAAATAAGGCACATTTGACAAAGTAAGTTTCCTTTTTGTTTCATTAATTCAATGAATTAATTTATCATATTGCATCCAACTGGTTTTATTTTTCTACCCTTAACAAAATTGAAAAAGCATCATTTTAGCAAGTCAGTATAGAATAACTTCGGAAGCCTTTAATTTGCGAGTAAAATGAGATATTATTTCTACTTTCAGAGGCGGATAATGAGGCGATCTTGGGAAAGAGAGAGAGGTAGATAGAGAGAGAGAGAGAGAGAGAGAGAGAGAGTGAGACTATAAAAATAGAGAGGAATATAGGGAGATGAACACGGAGAAAACAGACCAAAAGTTTAGAGGATGGTGTTTGCACATTTAATGTAAAAATGCCATCGAAGAATGGAGCAATATTTCTTTTGTCAGATAAGAAGCATTTGAATATAAAAATAGGTCAACAGTCTCTCTCGTTTACATTTATTATAGTTAAAATATTCCTTATTTTTATTTTAAGGTATATGTAGATTAAGTATTAAGATATAAATATAACAGATATGCATATAGAGTTCTTCCAAGAAGATCATCATTGCTAAGATTTACCATCATCTATAAACATGTACATATACGTCAATATGTTGCAAATATATTTAATTTTCACTTGTAAACAAAAGATTCTTTAAGGCGGGAATGCACTACTTGTAGCTACTTGCACCCTCTATATAGCAAACAATGCCTAAGCGGTACCTGTTGCTCCCCATCATCCCCTTTTTTCTTATGTTAATTGAGAGCTTATTTGATGAGATAACCACCTGTCAGTGACCATTCAGGGAGGTCTAACCCGTCCTGACCAAACCAGTCCAGACAGGCTTTAAATGATACACAGAACAAAGGGACTAGACATGCTGCAAAGGTGTATGGCAAGTTGGTCCATTGCTAATGCCTCATGTAGTCCAATTCGTCCATTTCCAGTTTGACTATACCGTAGTGCAAACGTCCAGCTTACTGGTTCATTGGGATCACCGCTAAATCATTCAAGCAACGGGCTGGAACAGAGCAAATTCAGTGTTTGCATGGCCTTTTGTGATCGCCTCCCATATTGTTTAGCACCAAATTGTTTGGAACCAGCAACCTTGACCACTCAACCAGTCATATTTCTCTATTGATGTAGTTTCATTCAATTTTGTGTACATCCAGTTCTTCTATCTTTTCGTTTAATGCATAGATCAATGAGTCAATGGTCTACTTTATATGTTGTGATAAACCCCTGTAGCCTTCGCAATATTTTAGTGGAACCTATTTCACTCTAGACTGAATGGTTAAGAAACTTGAAGGGCATTAGACCGAATGGACATTAGATTAAATGGATAATGGTCTTGAAAACACATTGCAGACTTCACAAAAATCAACCTAAAACCCACCGCACACTATACGATCCGACCACAATGCGATTTTACAAGATTTTGTCAGTAGCATTTGATACGGACATTCAAACTTGTAAAATATTATAGACCGAGGATCTGAATAATCTTTTGAGTACAGGTAATACAAAATGTTGGTATGGGTTCATGAATTTGGTTCAAATGAACATATTCGAAGAATATGCGATTTTACAATATTCAGTGATCGTTGTCGCGGTTGGAATCGAGTCTTAAGTTATGAAATTGTAAATGGTAAACTCTTTAATATGTATAGCTCCCTCTGAAGGTCAATATATTAATTAATCTTTTAAAAAATGTTTCTTGACTAAAATCGACCAAGTAGCTATTCCCGTTTGGAAATTATATATCACAAATACATATTCTGAGATTTGTATGGTTGCAGCTACCATTGTACGGCCGTAGGCGCTATTACAAATTTATCAAAATTTACCCGGAGCACCTGTAAATTTTAATATTCAATTTTTCTCGAAAGCAGAAGTGTTTTAGGGGCTAAATTTTCTAGTACTTTTGATACATCCACAAGTGCATCCAAATATATCAAAATGGTAAAGAATCACTATCCACCCAATTTTCAAAATTTCCTAAATTACCTTTAAACAAATTTCAATTTCAAGGGATCTCATGCTTCTTTGGAAGAGGAAAAGCTTAACCGGCTCATAATAGTAGTAATGTCAGACTGCGGTAGGGTGATTGTATACAGTTTGAAGCCGATTCGGTATTTATTTTGACTAGAAGAGTTAAAAACACGACAATCCTGATTGGTAGTATTCGAATTATTATTTCTAATCTAAACCAGGAAGATGATGTTTGTTTAAATTTTTCTATTTTGAACAATTGCCATTTCTTCGAAAATCGGATCGCAGGACGCTCGTGTACGTTTGCGGTGAGCTTCAGACAATAGGGACTTTTAGATTTGCACAACGACGATGTGGATTGCTACGACCGACGTCCTTTTAATGCACTGCCTTGAATGGACGTTACACGTATAAGCCCACGCAAATCTAAAAGTCCCTAATTTAAATAATCTGGTACGTCACCTTAGAAAATGTTTAAACATGACAACTAAGTATTTATATACTAATGAATAAGTTCTATGAGCAATACAATAGAGTAATGAAATTGTCCTTGATATGAGTTCTCGAAAGTTCTTGTGATTGTATTGGATTTAGATGAAATGTGAGAAATATGAGGATTGAACTAACATCGTATCTATCATTGCCATATGGATGGTCACGAAACTATCGTTAAAGGGATAGTTGAGTTCTGTTGCAGAGGGCGCTACACAATAAGAGATAATGACAAACTGAGTTTCAAATTTGAAAGAACATAGTATTTAAATGACAAAATCATCTTTGTTTGATCAAAATCGGTTCAGAGACGGCTGAAATATAATGATTTCTAATACTTGTGTACAACCACAAATATTAGATATTTTGAAAAATTTGAAAATACCGTTGACAAAAATGAAATAACGCCTTTTACGTCGTATTTCAGCCAATGCCGATGATGTTTTTTGTAGTTGCTTATATTACGCACAACCAGCCGGCCCATGTATTATTATTTTGAATTAAATAATTAATTAACGGTCACCGTGTTTTAAAGTGGAGCTGAATTGGTATGCTCGTATTGGCTAAATTTCACAAATTTTGGGGTCTAAAATTACCTTCATGGCAATTTTAGGTTCTAAAAGGGCACTATAAATGTCATAGATAAGAATAAGAGCAATAACCATGCACTTTGAAGGCATTTGCGGTCTGAAAACAGAACTCAACTATCCCTTTAATCATGATGCGATAATATGCTACCATATGAACATTCTGGCCCGTTGACTTCATCCTGCTTCTGTTTCTTCGCTAAATGGCTATGTCGGTATCCATAGGCAAAATAGACAGCAGTACCTGCAATAAATAGAAGCAAAACAGCAACATGACAAAGTAGAAACTGAGCACCAAGAGTATCAAGTGAGACAAGCATAAGCACTTTTTAAGAACCCACTATTAATGTTGATAGTTCAATTAGTATTATTGTTAATAATAATTATCATTATTATCATCATCATCGTCACCATCATCATCATTGTCATTAATATCATGGTCATTATCATCATTATCATTATCATCATCATCATCATCATCCTTATCATTATTATCAATATAATTATCATTATTGATTTGTACTCGCACACAGACTCACCCACACACTCATTAAGAGATGTTGTGGTCTGACAGATAAGTCACCACGCGGTGAATTACAAGGTACGGGGTCCGAATCCATGTGACTGCACCAAAGTCCTTTTGTAAGAAAACAATCTATATTTGCCACACTGCACTCGGGTGAAGTAAATGGGTGCCTGGTTGTATCATTCTTTAAGTATTATCAACCCTTTGGAAGCTAAAGGGGATGTTATATCATTATACATGTATCATAATAACGCGCTTCATAATAAGAACTTAATATTGAAATCATTTTGAAGTCATTTGTAATTATGATTACCTTGGTATCTCGATAAACAGAAATGGGAATTTCAGATTTAAAAATATTCATTATTCATGAGAAATTTCATTTGGGTTAGTTAAACATGTTCAACCCTCACAAGTTCCTTCGTTAGAATTGTGTGCACATTTATTACGTGGGAAAGAACTTCGTTTAGAATAGAATAAAAGCAGTTAGACAAATATTGTTTTCCCAGTGGAAAAAAACAGTCAACCACAAGTATATTTGCGAATTGCTAAATATTCTCGCAAAACTAGTTGTCATGATTTCTTAAATGTATGACTTTTCGAAATTTGACATTAAAATGCATATTGGAATTAGCGAGTTAGCTATGAAATTCAATTACTGTTCCACAAACATGTTTGGCTTACAGTTAAAATAATACTCTAAATTTAATTGCTGAGGATGGTTTGATTTTCATTATAGGATGGCGTATAATTACAACATGTGTTATAGATCCTGTAGGCCTGACTTGCTCAGATAATAATTATTATAATAATAATAATGGCTTCTTTCATAGCGCACATGTCCGCCACGTCGTGACGTTCCTGGCGTTGCCCGATATTAACGCAATCGCAAAAGATGACTCGTGTGCTGACTCACCTATAGCTAACCAAACTAGATATCGCACCCACGCCCCGGTGCTCAGACGCAAAAGAAGAAAGATGTCTGCCACGATGCTTACATATGGCACCAATGGAACACACTTGATCTGATAAGCAAAACGTAACAATGAGAAATTATTGAGGTGTAAATATTTTGAGGAGCTTGATATTTTCGTCAGAAATATAAACTTAATAAGAGAAGAACAAAAATTCACCAAAGTTTGATGTGTCTGGGATAAACATCTTGTTTAAAATAACAATAATGGGAACATACTAGAAAAGGGGGAAATACCTATTTGAACAGCGTCATAATTTACTCTGAAATCCCACTGTCGATTTAAAAAAATCTTTTTCAAAGTTTGATGTGTCTGTGATTAATACTTTATTCAAAATAACAAAAATTACAAATATTGGAAAAGGGGAAAAATACCCATTTGATCAGCATCTTAAATTATTCTGAAATGCCATCTTCGATGAAAGAACATCGTCGTTACAACATAAACGTTCACAACCTGACGATTAGCAGTCGGTAACGAGAAAACTTAAATCTATGACTACGTTATTGGAAAGCAGTAGAAAATACCCCCCCCCCCCGATACTCCTTATTGGTATGAATGAACGCAATGGAGAAACCGGTTTACTAACATAATTATTCAAGTTTGTATGGACGTTTCTTTCTCGAGTACATAGCGACTAGGTATGTTATTAACCTGTTATTCATGAATGAACTTCAATACTTGAAATCCAATCTGCATATATATTATGCTATGTATGGTGAGCCTCGGGCAAGCTAGCTTTCGGGTTGACAAGAATAACCTTTCTTTTAACAGTACGCACAACAATTGAATGTTTTAGTAAACCGGTCCATTTAATATAAACAAAACTCTGAGACCAAATAGACAAAATATGGTAGAGCCGACATAAAATGAATATCTCATTTTCATTTCATTTATGGAAACATTTTGTTTACTTTTTTTGTTTTAGAAATTACAGTAATCTGTATCAAATAAAGAGGTTGATAACTGGCGCTCTTAAAAATTAATGAAATAAGTAAAACACTGGAATGTGCCTAGAATAATTTAGTTTATAAAGACAACCCATATCATGAAAAGAGTATGTTCTAACTGGTTTGATATGCCATGTTTCATTTCAATAGATATTATTCCATTTGAGTTAACTGCCCCCATAAATAAGGACCATGTTTGGGTGATTCATGGGCTCCACACGAAACTTACACTAAAATAATCCTCCGACGTTGTTGCTTGGTGATGCATCGGGATCACAAGAAAAGAGAGAAGAGCAGCTACCGTGAAGAACACTAGTAAAAGTATTGCCCACCAGTCCCCAGCCGCGAGGTTCTTGGTGCCACACTGTACAATCGCAAGAGCACACACCTGGAAGGTCACGGAGATGACCAAGCTGATAAGGACACAACGACCCGGAGGGACACCGGCGAAGTTCTTGATGATAGGAACGTTTCGGTATCGTTCCTTCAGGGTCCCCGCGATGTTGCTTGTTTGACGACCCATCTGAGAATTAGGGCGATGGGTAAGCCTTTGTCTATCATCATGTGAGTATACGTCTTGATCACCATCGGGAATGTCCTCTGCAGTTTTCTCAGTTTCGTCCCGAGATTCGTCTGCTGTTGCGCCATACCGTGTAAGCTCTGAGGCTGTGGTCTCAAGATCGGTAGGTTGGTAACGTATAACTATTAGAGCACCTGAAACGAATGCAAATGAACTTAACGTCCCGACAGAGAGAAAGTGAACCAGCTGATCCATTGAGAAGAATAATGTCAGCAGAATTGTGAGCAATAATGGGACGACAGTTGCATTGACGGGTGCTCCGGTTCTTTCGTTTATTCTGGCTAGGGAAGGAAAGAGAAGGCCGTCATTGGCAATAGCGTATACACAGCGAGACATAGGTAACATTGCGCCTAAGAGGGCTGTGAACATACCGCTTATGGCGCCAAAGGCCACTGCCCATCTGGCCCAAACGATGCCATGGTGGGCCAGAGCACTTGGAAACGCCGCATTGACATCGATGTCGCTATATGGAACCATCAAGGTCAGTGATGCCGTAGCCATGACGTTCATGATGATGGTGACCATCACAGCAATGAAAGTGGACACGGGAATGCTTCGCTTTGGGTTTGTTGCCTCCTCGTTACAGATGGCTATCGTATCAAAACCTACAAAGGAGTAAAAGACAGTTGCAGCGCCCGCTATGATACCTTCTATTCCAAATGGAGCAAAGCCACCGCCATCTGTCCAATTCGAGAAGTCTGCTAAGCGGATCCCTAAACCAAAGATGAGTAGTACAACCAGCATGTTGATAGAGAGAAAAATGATATTCACCCACGATGAAACGGACACACCTAGTAGTACAAAAACACCAGTAAAAATTTCAATTGCAACTGCGAGGAGGTCAGGGTACTGAGCAATATTCGGAGCTTGCCACAGTTGTCCACCCATAATGTGCTCGATGGTGAAATTGGAAATGGCATTGTCGCACATGTTGTCCACGTATCCACTCATTCCGCGACCAACCGAAGCAGAACCTACAACGTATTCGAGCACCAAGTTCCAGCCGATGAAGAAAGCCCACACCTCGCCAAGAGCAACGTACGTGAACGTATAAGCGGAACCCGTCCGATGGATCTTTCCCGCAAATTCTGCATAGCACATGGCCGCAAGAAGGGCTACAACCCCTGCAAGAAGATAGGACACCAGTATGGCAGGACCGGCTGTGTCCTTGGCGACTACGCCAGCGACGACGTACAGTCCTGGACCAACCATGCCGCCTATCCCGAGAAGTGTTAGGTCGAAGGTGTTCAGCTTCTGCCGCAATTGAGACTCACGTATCTCCCCATTCGTCGGTATCTTCTTCGTGCGCGTCAAATTGGCGAGAAATTGTCTGCTATTATTTGACGCCATTTCTTTTACAGCTCGTATGTCTTATGTAGTCTTATGTAGAGGCTCAGGCATTTCCCCACCTGTAAAATTGTGAGTTGCTCTGAAGATACGCTTATCAGCATCGGACCAACTTTAACTCCACATCTTTTGGCAAGCAAAGTCGAACTTGAATCCTGTCAAAATAAGCAGAGAAATAATTTTGCAACAAAACATTTCACGAATCTTGTAAATTGCAATAGTAATTGGCAATCGCCTGACAAGCAAGCAAACAAGGCAACAAGAAAAGGGAATTTTTAGGTCATCCATATGGAGTCCAAATATTGGACTACGATCCCCTCAACTTAACCCGTCCCCCTCGTCTGTTTGCTGCATCTGCCAAACAAGGCATATTGCCTTTAAAGTCTAACCTGTCTATAGCAACCGCCCAAGGGAAACACATAAAGTGGTCTTTGTAGATGGGTAGTCACTTAAGCAGGTTAGACCGTATCAACATTTTGAATGTATATTTAGTGTGTGGGGCCAAACATACAACTCGGGCATGGTAGTGAAGAGCGCTACAAAGAAAATGCTGTTTGAGAGATCTTTCAAACTACATTCAACCTTGGGTCATTGTAAGTATACAGCGCGTTTTTTGTTGATCAGTCAGCGGTAAGAAAATCCAATGCACTGAGCGTTATGAATAAGGACACAATCAGCAAGTAACAATAAAGGAACATCCAGCCTATAAAGAAAACAGAAAAATCAGAAAATCTGAGTTCTGAATGACATCACACACACAAAAAAAGAAAATAGTAATCAGTTTACGTCTGGGAACTTCAAATTGGCTGAATCGCTACTGTCGTTGCGACTTAATGCAGAAGTAATTTTCCATATTTTACACACACAAAATGACTAAAATGTCATTTTTTCAGAATGCATGACTCATGAGGGTCTTTTATATATTTATATCCGACAATCGATTGAAATGCATGTACTTAATTTAGCCTATGTTTCAATGGGATGTACTTAAACTTTTACTTATATGACGGTTGTGTGAAACGCAGGCTCCACTGGCCTACAAGGGGAATGGCAGGCCGTGTCTACTGATCCTTTCCAATACGATTCCCTACCACCAAATTAATGCATTACGATGAAAAAATCTAGCCACTTCAAAAGAGCACTGCAGAGGTCACCCCTCCCCTTTTCTCTCTCTCCTTATTTCTCTCGATCTATCTCTCTCTCTCTCTCTCTATCCTTCTTTCTCTCTCTCTCTCTCTCTATCCTCCTTTCTCTCTGTCTTTCTCTCTCTATCCTCTTTTTTTCTCTCTCTCTCTATATATATATAAATATATAAATATGACTAGCCCTTTCTCTCTCTCTCTCTCTCTCTTTCTCTCTATCTCTCTTACTCTTTGTCTCTCACTTTTTGTTTCTCTCTCTCTGTTGATATTGGCGATCATGTTATTCCACAACTTTCTGTGTCTAGCCTTCACCATTAGCCCCACTCCCTGGTCTTTCTTCACTCATCTCTCTTTATCTCTCTCTCTCCTCAATTAACCATATCTACAGGCTGTTCAACTGTCGTACTCTTCCTCTCCCCTCCCCCTCCCACCCTCCAACCCCCCCCCCCCCCACCATCTATTCTTTAGAGTGGCCGATATTGCATTCGAAATTTTCACATTCTATGTTATGCTTCGTCCAAAACCAAGTTAGGCCCATTTAACAAAACTCGACACTGCTTTGCATGATATTCACCCCATATAGGATTTGAAATATAAACAAACATTATCTTAATCGATGTCCTACCTTTCGTACTTCCCCTAACGTTCTGCTTGTATGTCTTGCCGGTGATATTATATTCGCTGGATTTGATAACTACATGACTGTATTTGAGCCAATATAGTGACTCTATTACAATATTCACTAATGCGGCACGAATAGAGCGTATTTCGTAAGCCCAATTATTACTATTGTAGAAAGGTCAGTTCAGTAGTTCAGTTTGTTTGTGTTTGCTGACCCACGACGACTCAGTATAGATGAAAAGCCGGTGTCATATTTTCCGAAACAAAATCAAAAAGCAAAGTTTCGATGACAAACGAACTAGTCTCGTTCATGGACCTTGCATGTATAGCGAGGTTTTCGCTTCTCTGCAGAGGGGACAATGTCGTGTTCTTTGTTACTTGTTTAGAGTGAATGGATGCATGGCTCAGTGCCCTGTTTTACAAAACCTTGTTATCAGTAGGGACTTTTAGATTTACACGACGAGAACGTGGACCGCCACGTGTGACATCCTTTTAAGATATACTGGTGTGACGTCCTTTTAAGGCACTGCCGGGCACGGCCCAGTGCCTAAACACAATGTCACACGCGGCAGTCCACGCTCTCGTCGTGTAAATCTAAAAGTCCCTAATAATAGATCTGCAATACTAATAGCTGTTATAAAGCTACTGAAATCATTCCTTTGAATGGATGAGAGCAAATGTTTTATAGAAATATGACACTTCTTATTAATAAAAAGGTTTTGTGAAACGGGGCCTTGATACGTTAATCCAGTTCGTAGATACAAATTGCACTGGAAAATACGCAAGGGCACCAAATCAACAATTTTGTAGCAAACTTACGTGACTGAAATACACGAAGCAAGCAAGCAAGCACTAAGCTACTGACAGTAATATCCTGCAGTACCACATCATTGTAATAGGAGTACCTGAAAGGCGCCAACTCCACTTGACTGTTACACGGACTAAAGCTTCGAGCGAAAAGAGAGGTACGAGCTTACAAATATACACAATTAACTAATTGCAACATTAGATGTGTATCTATTAGAAAGCAATTTGACAATATAGTTTTGAGGACTTTTTACAGGAAACTTCACCTGAAACGATGTTACCTGGTGCCATATTTTGAATGCACAGTTAAGGTCCAGCATGTGACCTCCCATCCCCCCTCCCCCCTTCGACCCGATTTCTTAGTTTTTAAGGTAAACAGGCAATTTCGAATTGTAAGATATAAACTAACGCACAGTATGAACGTGGTCGAATAAACAACCATATTATTTTGGGAGGAGTAACAGCAATGCGTCAATTAGCGAATAAATTTAATGCAAACACCCCCATCTGCGGCCTGCCTGCATGAGAATCACAACAGCAATGAGCACCTTCTTCCCAAGTGATTTTAAAAAACAACAACATATAAACTGTAATTGCCATAAGTATTTCCAATAGCAGTGAATATAATAGATATTAAATTCCGCTTCCTTAGCAACGTTTTTGCTCTCAGTTTAGGTAACGAAATATTACTTGAGTGGAACATGTTGAATCTTACTTCTCCTTTTTTCTAAGTGTCTCAAACATACATGTTCCAGATATTTTGGTATTCCAACCATTATATTTTATAAATATCTGAAAAGGACACCAAACTGCGTTTTGTCACATGTTTAGATCCTTTATTGTTTTTTAGACTTTGAGGAAACAGAATTACCGAATTAATTTTATCCCCTAATAAAGGAAGTTCCAATTAACTCATTATAAGCCGAAATCAATGGGATCAGAATTTATTTGTACATTACACTTTAATCCATTCTCCAAATCCCAAGATTACTCTTAAAATTCAATACAATATCTCCTACTGCCCATGTCCAATATACAAAGAGACTAGTCTTGAAGTATGGGGCTGCAAATAGTATCGCCGGATAACTACAATTGTCAATAGTTTAGTTTTTATGAGAACTTACAAATAAGGTACATTCAAAATTAAACCTTATCTACTCTTTTAAAAGTTATTCTACATTCTTTTTCAGATGTAGCTATGATAGGCTTAATTATTCAGTTTTACTCAATTTAATAATTGCTATTTAACATTATCTTTTAATGTATAATGTCACATTCTTTTCTTAGAGATCGTCAAATCTAATGTCAATATACACTTGTAAGGTTTTGTTTCATGTTTTCTTGCATTTTAATGTAAATATGACATTGTTAGTCTTCGGATTTTTGCCATGTCTTTTTATTGCAATAGAACCAAAATTGAATTCAATTGAACTGTTATTACATTTGATTATCCCGTGGACCGTATCAAACACATGTTGCTTCTCACAGACTCCGAAATTGACGGTAATCAATAGAGTCCAGATGGCATGTTAGACTATTAGATTCCATTGTCGCACAGGGATTTTACGAGCAAAATATAATCAATTTCAATCAATCTTGTTGAATTTCTACACAATCGGTAAACAAAGTCTAGGTTACAGATGTGAAGGTACTGCCATTGTAGTTTTAAATCAGTTCAGTTCTCTCTAAGTATATTCAGAATCGTATTCTGTTTTTTAAAGGGTGTTCAACAGATGCGAAACACCTTGATACACAGTTTATTATCCTTTAGTTGTTAGTCGTTACCAGGCCGTCTCTACATCTCTTTCATCTCCATTCTACATCATCAACGCATTCCATTATCATCATGTTATGGACAGGACTTGTAATGTGGACATTTTTAGGAGTTGTTTGCTGATGGACAATGATTTCGGCTTGTGTGGATCCATTAGAGTGGCAAAACGGAGTCCATCAATGACCATTGTAGCCAGAGGTACTTCTGTCATTTCATCCATGTATAAGGATGTTGTCCGTGTTCATCATCTACTTTAGATATGGAATGACCACTGCGACATCGTCAACTAGGAATATTTCTGTCTGTGAGAGAAACGTTTTGTCACGAAGGAGTGACAGATTAGTCAGAATTAGTTCCAAGCAAATTATGTTTCCACAATTGACAATGAAATTATCCTCCTAGCACGACATAAAAAATCAATGAACCAGGATATATACCTTATTGTACACCCCTTTCACGGATCCCCTGTTTGTATGCGATTGAGACGAGGTCCATCTTAAAGACTCACCGTAGGTAGCCTTTCGTGGTTCCCTTACGTTGGAAATATCATTCACCTTGCTTCTTATGAAGATGGCGATTATGAATGCATCAATCACTTTTTATGCTGTAGGTTTTTTTGTAATCATCGAATGTCTCTTGCAGGGTCTGTACGTCTCGTCCCAGACAACATGCAGAGATTGTCTTGTTTCCGGTGCCGATCAACTTTCTCCGAGTCGGGGTGAGAATCTAACGCTGTTTTGTACTGTAGGAACTGCGTTAGGCATCCTGACCAACATGACATGGCAATTCCAGAGTGATGACAATGGCACGATGGTTGTATTAGATGAGTTTGATGATGAGCGCCTTGTCATAATGGTCGAGGAGGTAAGCGAGGGATTTTTCAACCACACTTTGTACATCTCTTCCGTTAATGCACGAGACTCTGGGAGATATTGGTGCAGCAATGTGATGAACATTAGTGAACCTGTCAAGATCGATGTTTTGATTCCATTCAACTTCAGCTACCCTGTTTGTTCGGCTAATGGTGGACAAGATATACTCGCGGGGCCAGATGAGGTGATCGAACTGTATTGTGAGGCACCAGTGAGCAACCCACAATGGCTCCTACAGTGGCAGAAGACGTTGTCAATGTCTACTGCTTCAATCGAAGGTACCAAAGACGTCCATGATGGTGTTGACGTCTTAACTGCATCCGTGTCCGTCAGTGCTGCCGAGTATCACGGGGCTGTTCTTGAGTGCTTTGCATACTGTCCGTACTTCCTCACCCTTAATTCCGACCTATGCGGGCAATCTGTCAGATCTATTTGCAAGCTGAAAACATTCTATGTCACCGATGTCCCACTCATGGACACCTTTCACATTGCCCCCGTTCGCCATTTTGTCACAGAGGGCGCTTCAGTCACCATCTTCTGTACAACGAATCGTGACTATGAATCAGGAGGGCCAACCGTTGACTTTATTTTAAGCACAGATGTACCTGTGGAGCGAGTATCTATTCCGAATGGTCACGCCTTAGTTATATCAAACATAAGTTTTAGTGACAATAAAACAACTATTGGTTGTGGACTGTACTTCCAAGGAAAACTCTATCGGATGAAATACTCAACAGTCTACGTTGTAGAGCCAACGACAACGACAGTAGGTTCTAGTGACACAACTTCAATGTTCAATGCAAACGATAGTGGAGCTAACTTCAGTGATGTTACAGATATGATACCTGACACCACAGACACGGAAATTACAACGTTTGGCACCGACACTTCGTGGAACACGACAACTAAATCTACTACACCGTTTACTGGTCAAGTGTCTTCCACATTGAATCAAAATATAGAAAACAGAACAACAGGTGATATGTTTACGTCATCAACAACATTTCCAAGTGAGCTAGGAGCTACTGTGACGACGGACGTCAGTCTATCTGTTTCTAACGCTTCCGGCACCTCGGATTACCTCACCCCTGACACCAACGCTTCGACCATTACACCACACCGCGAATTCAACGCTGGTCCAAGTCGAACCTTCATCGGGCTTGTCGTCGGCTGCTCAACCGCTGCTCTTCTCCTTATCATTGTCCTTATTGTCGTGGCAAAAACGCTTGCTAAGAAAACCATGGGACACCAAAGTTCTTGGTCGCCGAAACATAACGGCAAACGAACCTACTGGGACTACAGGGACGAGAGAAAACATCTCAGGGTGAGCACTCTCAGTGGCGGCATCGTCGGTCAGGATGGAAGTTTTGATTTAGATGAGGCAAAATTGGAAAAATTGTAAAAGACATTGGATATTTCATTTGCCGCATGGACATTAAAGGGATAGTTGAGTTCTGTTTTCAGAACGCATATGTCTTAAAAGTGCATGGTTATTGCTTTTATTCTTATCTATGACATTTCTAGTGCCCTTTTAGGACCTAAAATTGATATGAAGAAGATTTTAGACCCCAAAATGTGTCACATTTAGCCATCACCAGGAA